GTGTAATTCTTTGCGTCTTAGTTTTTCTTTTTCAAGGTGTAAGCCACCACTCTTTTTCATCGTGGGATCTTCCCTTGTTGTTGTTGTTGTTGTTGTAGCGGCTACTAAGCCCCGTTCGGGGCGGTTCATCCATCAACGTTGTCGTCTATTTCAGCTAGGGGGAGGCCCAGGAAGTGGGCTACTTCCAAGGGGCTGTCCATAGGGACAGGGGCGTTAGCTGAGTGGGATTCTCAGGGCATGTGAAGAGGTGCCGGGAGTCATGTGGCGACTCTCCACATGCCGGGCATTGGTTGGGCACATCCTCGTTGATTCTGCTCAGGTAGCTGTTGAGCCTTCTGCAATAGCCAGAGCGAAGTTGGGCTATTGTAGTGCGGTTCTCCCGAGGCAGACAAAGTTCTGTCCAGTCCACGTCCGGTGGTTGTGTGCCTAGAACGGCATTCACAGGGCGGGAGTCTACATAACTTGAGACTGATTCCCTGTGAATGCCGTTCAGGGCCTGTCGGTAAGTTGACTGGTCCAGAGGTTGTTTTATATACCTCTGGACTTCGTCTGTCAGGTCGTAAAGATGCCTCCTGACATGCCATGGCGAGGGCTCTTCCGCGAGCAGTTGCCCGCTGGGATGGCCACGTCTGTGGCTCCCAGCGAGGAACTGCTTGCAGAGCATTATGTTATGCTCCTATACAGGGAGCATCTGGGCCTCGTCATGCAGGTGGTTGAGGCGTCATCAGGAAGCATCCTGTCGCAGTTCGTAATGCCGTGTTTTGGCAGGTCTGCATCTTCATCCACTGCGTCCTGCTAGTCCCCGGCGACCATACGGGCGCTGCGTAGTTTAGAACCGGCCGGCCAATTGCCTTGTATGTTGCCAACAACGTTTCTTTATCTTTGCCCCAAGTGCTGCCGGCCAGCGACTTGAGGACATTGTTGCGGCTCTGTACTTTGTTGACCATTGAGGTTGTATGCGCCGAGAAGGAGAACAGACTGCCTAAGGTAACTCCGAGGATTTTCGGGTTATTCACCGTCGGTATTGTTACGCCATCGACGTGAATACCCAGTGGCAGTCTGACCTCCTTCGTCCAGGTTTTGAAAAGGGTTGCCGAGGATTTCGCAGGGGATAGGGCAAGGCTCCTTGCAGTGAAGAAGCAAGAAAGGTCAGAGAGGTAACCGTTTACTTTTGAGCACAAGTAATCAATTCCATTCTCAGACGCCATGATCGAACAATCGTCAGCATACGAGACTATATTAACACCCTCTGGTGGCTGAGGAAGCTTTGATATGTAATAATTAAACAGTAGCGGGGCCAGGACACCACCCTGTGGTACCCCCTGTTTAATTTTACGTGGCTTGCTAGTTTTGTCTCTGAAGATTACTGACGAGTGTCGACCACTCAGGTAATTCGCCGACCACCGTTTGAGTCCCTGTGGGAGTGAGGAGGTCTCTATATCTTCAAGTAGTGTTGAATGACTGACAGTGTCGAACGCCTTGGACAGGTCCCACGCTACTAGAATTGTTCTCTCACAGGGGCGGTTTCGGTTTAAGCCACGAGTTATCTGAGTGTTTATGGCGTTAAGTGCTGTTGTTGTACTATGCACTTTATGGAACCCATGTTGATGCTTCGCTGGGTTCTGGTGGTTCGTGAAGTACGGGAGCAGCAGGGCCTCGAGTGTCTTCGCTACCGGGGAAAGGCGAGTTATCGGGCGATAAGACTCTCCTTTGTTGGCTGGTTTCCCCGACAGTGGCCATAGACAGGTTGAGGACCTCCGTTAGGTACGCTACTCCCGCAACCTTCAATACGTGCAATTCCTTGATTAATGCAAGTCTCTAAAACAAAACATTGTAACGTTTATAAGTGCAACTTAAAAACAATTTTATTTCTATACCTACAAAATTTCTATGTTTATGCACACAAAATTTGAACTTTTTACATTTCTTTTAGTAAATATGCTTCCAAATGGACATGGTTCCAACAATTAGGAGTTAGAACCTCCTGGATATCAGCTACGCGGTTCGCAATGAAGGTCATCCATCTGCTGGGATGCGCTTGTATCCATGCCAATGTGATGGTCGAGTCGGTCCACGCATACAAAGGGTAGCGGAGTTCGTCCCAGCTACGCAATACGGTCCGCACCAATTTAGCAGCGAGGTGCGCTGCGCATAGTTCTAGACGCGGTAGAGTCGTTGATTTAAGCGGCGCCACCTTTGTTTTCGACGAGATCAACGAAACTGTCACCTTTTTGTAAGGTGCGCGCATACATTACGGCGGCGTAAGCGCGTTCTGTGGCGTCGGCGAACACATGCAGTTCCGTAACTGATCCAGTTATTCCAGTGCATAGCCACCGATTTACTTTAAAGTTTGAAAGAAGAAGCAGCTCTGAGCGACGTTCCGACCACTTTATGGCGACGGAGTCAGGAATAACATCATCTCAGCCAACGTTGACGCGCCAAATGTCCTGTAACCACATCTTAGAACGTATGGTTGCTGGAGCAAGTAGTCCCAGAGGATCAAATAGTGTGCTGACATCGGACAAAAACGCTCTTTTAGTCAAATAAACGGGCGGTCTCTTCAGGTTTACTGCAAATGTGAAATGGTCTTCGTCTGTGTTCCATATTAGGCCCATCGACGATGTAATGCGGTATAGATTCGGACGAGTTCGAAATAGTTTTATTTAGTTTCGCGCAATTCGACGCCCACTTTCTTAATTCAAAACCACATTCCTTAAGTATCTCGGAAACGTTTTGTTGCAGCGACTGAAGTTCTTCTCTATACGATGTACCAGTGAGCAGATCGTCCATATAAAAGTAATTTAGTATGACAGCAACGGCTTCCTGACAACTGTTCGACGAGTACCTTGCGGTCTGTTGAAGAGACTTTACAGCTAGGTGTGATGCCGCTGCTACTCCATAGGTCACGCGCAACATGTGGTAGTCTTGTATCGGTAGTAAGGGGTCACGACGCCAGAGGATGCGTTGTATTTCATTTATTTATTTATTTACATGAAATATAATTGTAAATGATTATATTACATAATTAAGGCAACTAGCAGCAGGGGCTATCGGCCTTGGGATGCGTTGTAAATCGATATGTTTCGGGGAGATGCAGACTTGGCGGTACATCTTTGCGACATCAGCCGTAACACCGTACCGATGAAAACGAAAACGTGTCAAAATGGAAAATAAATCCTGCTGCAGCTGGGGGCCGACAAATAACGCGTCGTTGAGCGAGTTTCCGGTAGCGCTTTTGGCAGATGCGTTAAATACGACCCTCAATTTCGTCGTAACACTTGACTCTTTTATGACTGGATGATGCGGCATGTAATAGACTGCATTCGAAGTTTTGGACGCAGGCTCCATATGACGCATATCAATGAGCTCCCGCATAAACTCATTGTAACGTACACGCAAGTCGTTGTCGCGGCCGAGTCGTCTTCCGAAGCGTATCAGGTTCTGAACGGCGAAAGTTCGCGAGTCCCCCAACGGTACATCGGATTTCAGAGGCAGCTCAACTATAAATCGACCATCGCAAGCTCTTCGATGCGTTGACTCGAAATGGTTTTCACAGAAACTCTCATCGTGTGTTAGATGTGTTTTTTGTGGAGCTTCCTCCAGTTCCCATAACCTTGTTAGCGCCCTTTCCAGTGTCACCTCACAATGCAGCGATTACACTCGGGGCGTAGCGGGATGAGAGCCATCGACACTCCCAAACAACGTCCAACCAAAGACTGTTCGCTGGGTCATTGACGTGCCAGACGGACCTTTGCGACGTTCCGAGAAAACGAGCTGGTCCATGACGTACATGCCGACCAATATGTCGATACGACCAGGCTTCATAAATTGCGGATCTGCTAGGAACAATCCTTGTACGTGGGACCATGCTGAAACCGGTACAAACTGCGTGGGCAAGTCTTTCGTTATTTTCGACAAAATTAGTGTGTTTACTGTGAAGCGTCGATTGGAGCAAAAAGAAGAAAGCGTTAGTACTGTCTCACCTCTGGATCGACCTCCTTGTGTTGACCCAATGCCCTTAATATGCACGTTGGATGATGTTCGCGGTAGACCCAAGCGTTGCACGCATGCCTCAGTTACAAACGAGGCATGCGACCCGGAATCAAACAGTAAACGGGCGGGTTGCCAATAACCGGCGCAATCGCGGACCTTTACCCACGCGGTGGACAATAGTACTAACCTTTCTGTTGGTTGCGGCGGGTTGGAGCTGGAATTCAGGCATGGTGAAACACGTACAGCGGCGGGGTCCGTTGGAGGACTAACAGCGGATGAAACATTTTCGTTCGAGTTTGGTGCGGCATCGACGGCGACAGGATGCGGGGGCACATGAGACGTATCGTCAACAAAATGAGCAGTGGTTGTAGCATTGTTCACAAAACAAACACTATGCAACAGCATGTTGTGGCGTTGGCTGCATACCCTACATGCAGATGCACTGTTACACTTAGCCTTAAAGTGACCCGGACTTAAGCAGTTCACACACACTCGCGATTCCTTTACGAACTTTGATTTTGCATTTACGTCTAAACTTCAAAATTTGTCGCAACTATAAATTTTATGGGGGCCGCTACAATAAGTACAGTCCGCATTATGCTCTTGCATCGCATGGAAAAAATTCGCTGTTTTACCTACTGAGGTCATTCTCCCTTTAGTTAGCACTGTACATATGGTCGAGGAAAGCATCGATAGCGATCGAACCGTATCTGTAAAAACGTCGTAAGTTGCTCGAAAGTCGGTGGCTCATCACTTTCGAGTGAAAGCTCCCACTGCTTCCTTGTTTCGAATGCCAATTTGCTAACTACCTCATGAACCAACCAGTCGTCCCAAAACTCGACAGGACGCCCTAGTGCTTTGAGCTCGCGAATGGACTGCTGGAATGCGTCAATTACACCTTTTATTGCATCAGCAGAATCACTTGTAGCCCTCTTTATTTCCGACATAGCTCTAATGTGTACTTCGACAATAACGCGCAACACCTTATAACGAGCCCTAAGAAGGTCCTATGCCTCCTTGTAATTTGCATCACTAATTTGGAAGCCACTGATGATTGTCAATGCTTCGCCCTTTAGACAACTTCGAAGATAGTGTAGCTTTTGCCCGTCCGATAAGGCCGGATTATTGTCGATCAGCGAGGAGAACGCGTCGAAAAATCCGATCCACTCCGTGGAATCGCCAGAGAACGTAGGTAGTTCCATTTTAGGTAGCCGTATGGCTGCAGAGATGGGTGTAGTCACAGTAGGGCGCCATTCGGTACGACATTTTTGAACTCGGTTAAAATTTGCTAAAGCCGTTGAATACCAAGTCTCGGCTTGAATACGCACATTTTCTTCCAATTCGATGTTATCACCAGCACACGAATTGTCTACAGCATCTTGGGCATTACCCATGGGCACCGAACCCATTGTTCATTTAATAGCTGCAAGTAACTCGCAACATTTTCTACATCCATAGTGAATGATTCATCAATACTTTTTGACATATAACGTTTAATGGCACTGAGGGTGGAATCGCGTGTTTTTATGGAATTCGACATTTTTCGAATTTGCCTTTCAAGGTTACTCGTAAGTCGCAGATTTTAAATAGAATAGTTACAGCGGACAAATGAAGGACACAAAGCGTTAGAATTTTGGTAATGTCAAATGGAGGACGAGCGTACAAAATCGCGCACAATCTTAGGTCGCTGAGATATACTCGTTTTATGCCACTCGAACACGAATCGCACTTAAATTCTTGAATTTTGTCAGTTTAATCACTGCAATTGCCGCTTCGTATTCTATACCAATTACAAGCTCTACTTGGCTATACATTTTTTTCACTTTCGCAATGTCTTTTTTTAATATATGTAGATTTACAATATATGCGGGCAGGATGTACTATCCGGCTCGAAGGACCAAAAAATGTTGCGTTATTTACTGACAAAAAACTCGGGTCGAATTCGAAATTAAAAATATGCGGTTTAATTTCATAAAAGTTCACTTTTATTGATTTAGAGAAAAAAATGCGGGTGGTAGCAAGCGGTAGCAAACAGGCGATAATAGCTAATGAATAACAAATTAAAACGCGCAAAGAACTCAAGTGAGAAATACAAAAGAGTATAAAATGTCAAAATCGTTAACACTTATGCACAGTCTGTTGATACTTAACCCTTACATTAATATGTGCGATTAAAATATAAGAGAAAGCATAAATGAACCCAACAAGTAGATCAATATCTGCAATTTAAAAAAAATCGTTAAAATCCTTGCTTTTTTGCGGCAGTTATAAACGATTTCATCAAAAGTTGCTATTAAGAGAAGAAAAAATAAGCGTTCGTACTCAAAAAGAAAAAAATTCATTATTCGAAAAATTCGCATTTCTGAGCAAAAAGAAAAAATACGTGTCTCCTAAAATTTTTCAAGGAACGATCCCTGTGAGTTTTATCGCAAACTTAAAGTCACTTTCCCCCGGCCTTGGTGATTTGAGATGGAATGAGCCATATGTAAGTAATGCAAACAAATGCTTTTCGGTTGGAAGGAATGTAGGAATATGCACAAATATATGAATTATGGTGGTAATATATATGTATGTACATACATACATGTATGTAAATTACATATATGCATACGTGTAGTTAAAGTACAAGTTAACACCGGTAAACACGTATCCGGTCAACATTCCACTTCCACCGATATTGCTGACGGTGCGTCGGCAGGTTTGAGTGTGGAAATAGCGTAGCAACAACTCTCCTACCGATATTGATGACGATGCGTCGACCAGGTAGCGAGTGACAACAACAACATCGCTGCAGCCGAAAAGCCAACAGCAAGAGGTAAAATTGCCGAATTGCATTTTGCAAGTCACACGGCAAAACATGTGCAGATACTGGTAGGTGGTAAGAAAGCGCAGGTATTTAGGCGTAGTCGCCGCAATATTTTAGTTAGCAAATTAGTTGTAATAACTCGACTGATAAAAACGGCTGCTCTTGTGCAAACAAGAGAAATAAAATAACATCAAAACCCAACCAAGTGTTTTAATAATTGCTCTTGTGCAAGCAAGAGAAATGAAATAACATTGAAACCCAACCAAGTGTTTTAATAAGTGGCGCCCAACGTGGGGCCACAGTGCAGTTCTTGTGTGATCCTTATAAAGGACAAACCCTGTGCGTGGCCGTGGTTCGAATCCACTCGACAATTGCGGGAAAGTTAACCACTGTATAAACAGTGAGCCGCGAACAATTTATTACGCAACAAAACATTTTAATTACATACACCGTGAACATTTATGAAGTTTTTTAACAATTTGAAAAGATAAAGTTTAAAAATTAAAACACCACATAACTAGTGGGAAAAAGTGTAGAGCCAATGCTCTAAAAAATAAAGCATCCTAATCATCGTAATCCTGTCTTCCTGCTGCTGGAACACCACCTGAGGAATCATCGTGCTGCTGCCTTATCATACCTTATTTAGTGACATAGCTTATCGGGATATGGAAATTTTCATGTGAGTAGAGTCATTTTAGCAGCTAACTTTGTTTAAAAAGTTTTACTATCCTTTTTGACAATTCTTAAATAATAAATAAATTTTGTAAAGGTGGGTAACGGTTAGGAAGGGAAATCCCTGTATCCACTTAACACTTAACTGACTTAGAAAAAATTAAATATGGACGCACAAACTCTGGAAGCTTTTCTTAATACTGCCATTCGTACTGCGACCGACCATTCCCGGAGGGAATTTCAGTCTCGGGTTGACGAACTGACAAACAGGTTAGCAAGGATCGAATCACCAGTTCGTGTTACCCAATACGAACCGGTGACTATTCAACCCGGAATACCATGTGACGAATCATTGGACCTTGTGAAAACCTTGCCGGAATTCAAAGGCGACGCGACCCGTTATGTGTGTTGGAGACAAGCAGCTCATACTGCTTATAGAGTGTTCGAAGCGTATCACGGTAGCTCAAGACACTACCAAGCGGTAGGCATAATCCGAAATAAAGTAGTAGGAGCCGCAGATAGTGTTTTATCCTCTTCAGTTTTCATGCTATCATTTCTCGACTAGGGCCTATGCGGACAATAGACCAATTTACTTAATTGAACAGGAGTTATCGACCCTTAGACAAGGAAAATCATCAGTAGTGGAGTTCTATAATGCAGTGGAGAGAAAGTTGACTCTGATAGTCAATAAAACAATCATGACTCACGGTGAGAATACCACGCTGATAGGATCACTTAATAAGAAATATCGGGATGATACACTTCGCGTGTTCATCTCGGGACTCAATCGCCCTTTGTGCGATGTTCTCTTTTCCTCTAGACCCGCTGATCTGCCGTCAGCACTTGCCCTAGCGCAGGAACTGGAAGCGAACCAAGCCAGATCAATGTTTGCAAGTTCCTTTAACAGACAGGCATCCCATAACTTAGATCCTTATTATTATTCATCCCAATACCGTAGAATACCTCAAGACCAACGAGGACAAACTCGAACTCAGCAAACTCCAGTACCAATGGGCATAGATCCGTCGTACTCCCGCTTCAGACAGAACAGACCCCAACAACTCCACGGAAATGACGATAGGTACCGCAATCAAGGAGCTTACCCTAAGGTAACTCGTCCGGATAACAGTAACACGGGCGGCATATTCAATCGCCATCAGCCTTATCAACAGGCCTGAATAAAGAAAAAACTGAAAAAAGACAGCATGGAAGTGATCAGCTGCCAATACAAAAGATACAGCGTATCAAAAATATCACCCAAGGCCAATACGAACCGGAAGGCGAATACTGGAGTGATACCGGGTATGATGACTATTATCATGACACAGAACGTAAGAGTGCTGAATATAACCTGGACGGACCGAAAGACGACGTTAATTTTTTAGGACTAAGTCCCTCTCGCCCTATGTCGAAAGGACACTTGGGGGAAGAGGAATAAGATTTTTAATCGACACCGGTGCTGCAAAGAGCTATGTAAAACACCTTAACGCTCTAAAGGGAATAAAACCTGTGAATAACCCTTTCACTGCCAAATCCACCCACGGTACCGATATAATTAACAAAAAATGTACAGTAAATATATTAAATAAGAATGTTGAGTTCTTTGTCCTACCCAGCTTGAAGACCTTTGACGGCATTATAGGATTGGACTTATTAAAAGAAGTAAATGGTAGTATTGACCTAAAGAGAGAGAAGTACCTCTTCTGGTGGTGGAAAGGAAAAACTCTTGTACTACTACTGCTCGGACGTTAACAAATTAGTAGAAACTAAATCGGAAACAAGCAATGACAATATTGATATCTCTACATTGCTAAAGCATCATGCTAAAGTTTTCGCTGATCCAGATGAAGCGCTGCCCTACAATACCAGCATTGTAGGTACGATAAGGACCGTGGACGATTTACCCGTCTACTCGAAAAGTTACCCGTACCCCATTGCTTCTGCGGAATTTGTCAATAAGGAGATATCAGATCTGTTGCGTGACGGAATCATTAGACCATCCCGTTCGCCTTATAACAATCCAATTTGTGTTGTAGATAAGAAAGGTTTAGACGAAAAAGGCAACAAGAGATCACGACTCGTAATTGACTTTAGGAAGCTAAACACCAAGACAATAAGTGATAAATACCCAATACCGGATACTTCTGCGATTTTAGCAAACATGGGAAGTGCAACATTTTTCTCCACAATAGACCTCAAATCAGGATTTCACCAAATCAAACTCGCAGAAAAGGATAGAGAGAAAAAATTTTCTCGGTCAACAACGGAAAGTACGAGTTTTGTAGGCTCCCCTTTGGTCTAAAAAATGCTCCTAGCATTTTCCAGAGAGCCATTGATGATGTCCTTAGGGATGAAATTGGGAAAACGTGTCATGTTTACATAGACGATGTTATCATTTTCTCCAAAACTGCCGAACAACGCGGTAAGGACATTGATCAAATCCTGACAAAACATTTCGATGCCAATATGCGTGTTTCCCCTGAGAAATCCAAGTTCTTTCAGGAAAGTGTTAAATTTCTAGGCTTTACCGTATCAAAAGAGGGAATCAAAACATGCCCCGACAAAGTCAAAGACATTTTAGAATTTTCGATTCCAAAATCGTTACGAGCTTTGCGTTCATTCCTAGGATTAGTACGATATTATCGACGGTTTATAAAGGACGAGGGAGAACTGCCGGCAATAGTATGGGCTCTACAAAAGCTTCGTAACTATTTGTATGACGTAAAGAATTTGAATATTTACACCCACGCTGGAGAGAATACAGAAGGTGGCGCCGATGGCAATGCCGCTAATCGGCTCTCAGTGAATTTGACAGAATCAGCTGTTTTGCTGACGTCACAGTCGAGATGACAGCAATAGTCATGTGCTGAGTCAATACTTGTAAGTATCCAATACTCTCGATACTCGGTACCGAAACATTTAGGTTTCGAA